TTTTTCAGACAAGTCTCATGGGTTTGTGCACAGGGGTCTCAAGTATTGTCCGTATAATCATGGAGGTAGAATTATGGAACTCTTTACTGCCGGCCCTACGCGGCGGATGACAGCGACTAACGCCAAAGAGGCATTTAACGTGAATGCCGAATCGGCCCTTGATGCACTTTAGCAATCGGTGATGCATATTCACGATGGGTGATCACCGTCAGCGAGTGATGTATATTCACCAGCTTAATGGGCGTTTCCATCGTTGATGCTATTTCGGAACCGGTGATGGGTTTCTGAGATCGTTGGTGGACTTTTGCGATCGGTGATGGTGTTTCACCACCGGTGATCAACTCTGTAATCGGTGATGGTTTTTGGCGATCGGCGATGGACTTTCGCGATCGTTGGTGGACTTTTGCGATCGGTGATGGTGCTTCACTACCGCCGATCAACTTGAATAATCGGTGATGGTTTTTTTTTTTGATCGGTGATTGGTTTTTGCGATCGGTGATGTTCTGTCACACCGATTAATTGTAAACGGTGATGGATTTTTGTGAGTTGTGAAGGGCTGTCGTCATTGATGCATTTTCGTGTTTTGGGATTCATTTCTTCTTTTTTGTAGGACTTCCGCCAACTTTGCAAACGGTTCTTTCTCCGGAAATTAAAACAGTAAAAAGTTGATTGGAAATAAGGATTTAGGCTTAACAATGACATTCGGGGTTACCGTTTTTGTGACAATTAAGTAATCCAATTTAGTCATACGCAACTATTGCTTATTAAGTTAAGTTTTGATGGGTTTGTAGTTATTAGGCGTTAATTTTGTTGTAACGTAGATTGAACCATCATCATCGCCGTCACCATATCGTCTATTGCAATTAATAAATGAACAAATACTGATGCATCCGATGCGTTGAGATTCAGCAATCATGGCAGTGGCAAATTCTCTTTGACGTTTTTCCGTTTACGGCTATTATGTTTAACTACATGTACTTGCATATCAGATGTATCTTTGTCTTTCAGAAAGTAAGCAACAGCAACCGAAGAACAAAGAAACAAACCAAAAAAACCCTGTAATTTGGGGGACCCTTGGGTCACACCCGTAGGGTGCGCCACTGCATGTACATGTACATGTACAGTATGTTGCATGCAGTTTGACTAGGACCACTGTGAGGAAATATGTCCTCAATCTCATAGGGGCCTATCCTTCTGCACCACTGGCATAGGTATATACTTTTTATATATGTAGAGGACACCGAGGATTATTTGCCTCTGTTTTGATTTCTAAATTTTCTACACTTTGTATAATCCGCTTGCCATTAGAATTAGAAATACATGTAATTTACTCTTAGCTTAGACCGCATGTGTACAATTTTATGCAAGACCCCTCGACATAAGTTCCAATCCCTGAATGACCTTAGTCTTTTTCGCATTAACCTTTTCCAGCCCAGTTGGCAGTTGCCATAGCAACTACCCAAATCCATACCTAATGTTCCCCTTGGGTCCCACATCGCTCCTACAAGTGTCCTACCTGTGCACTGACCACATACTGTACTGTACATGTAGTTTGATCTTCATTCCTACCATTTCTGTTTCTACCCACAAGCTGGCCTATGTGTACATGTAAATGTACATGTACATGTACTGCGAAGGAGTCCTGTGTTTTTTCTAACCGGCATTTAAAAACCTGTGAACTTTTTTTTGTGAGTGTGTACTGCGTGACGAGAGCTGGTGGCAAAAAACGACACGTGTCCTTTTTCCCCCTCGAAGTACTAAATATTAAAACGCAGGGGGGAAATGGTCTGCTTGAATAATACATGTACACTAGGTAAATCTTTACTGGCCTGCTTGAATACTTCCCAGTTGGATATCTAATATTGACACGAATATTAGTTTGGGATAACCATGGAGGATGCAGCAATCTACCCCCGTTATTTTCTTGTATTTCCAAATTTATTAAAGTATTCTTGGGATTCATCATGGAACCATGCCAAAAATTAAAATATTTCAGTACACACAAGCATGCTCCACCCCGAACCCAATTTAACTCATTCTCAAATTAAAATAGGCCTACTAATTACATGTACGTGTTTTCAAGCTTAAAACATGTTGCTATGTACGTGCATTCCGTATCCCGTCCTTTCTTTGAAGGTGTACTCCCTTCTGTGGCGGGACAACTGACACCTTTTTGTGGCGGACCAGCAGACTGGCCTGATCGGAGATGGAATTGACCTGACCTAACCCCACAAATATATTTACTTAACCTTACGCAAGAATGAGCGGCTATCCAAACGCAAGGGGGGATATCAGTTAACGAACGGTAGACTATGCCTTAGGGGCTGTTCGTTTGGTGGATGTTTACCACCGCTCTGTGATTAGGTAATTGCTCCAATGCCAAGAAAGATTACAATAAATGTCAATAAGTGATACAGGACTGAACTAAATCTCACGGTGACCAGTGATTTCCAAGGCAATTATATGATTGATTTATTCAATGTCAGTGATCAGTTATCCGTTATTTACAACAGCAATTAACTATATACAAAATTATCCTCACGGGGAGGTAGTCCTACGTGGTCAACTGCACCACGAACATGATTAATCAGCCTTATCCTTGACCTACACCAGAATAACCCTCACGGTGATCAGGGTAAACCTCACAGCGATCAGGGTAACCCTCACAATAACCAGGTAACCCTCACAGTGATCAGGGTAACCCTCAAGTCTAAATAAATAATCTACCGATGGCTTATAACTGGTAAGTCTTGACCACGTAAGCAAATACGATCTTCGTAACTGTACAACACAACACAACGGTGTAGACTTGTACAACAATAATCTCTACTGCCTTACGAAGCAACACAGTTCCCAATCTACAAGGTTCAAGGTGACCTAAATAACCCTCACCCACTTCAAGTTATTACGAAATAACACACTGGCAGGTAAGTTGATTAAGAAGGCGATTATAATAGTCCTCACCAGACTGTAAACGGAAACCTACACCCAGTAAACCTGAAAGAGGAAAGCAAGCTCCCAGACCAGGACCGCAACCAACCGTCGCTATGCCAACAAGCATGGAACAACGGTACACAATCCTTCTAGTCTAAGCTCCGCTAATTCCCCAATCAACTGGTTCACACGGGTTCACTAACCCTATAATATACCACTTCTTAATTAAACGAGACTGTCTAACGATTCCCCAATCTTCAAAGAGATCTGATATAATCGGCAGCTCCGGCAACTGAGAACAAGCACCACACTAACCGATCGCACCAGGTACACTTGAGGTAGATCCCCAACCACCAGCGGTCGTACGTCAGATTTACTCGTACCGTACACTCGGAATACAACACAACTCCACAGCTCTGGTTAGTACGCTGCCATCTTGAGAAGTCTTGGCAACCCACGCAGCCAGCGCCCAGACCTAAGGTAATGCGGGCCTCTGATTGGTTGCCGCGACATGTTTAATGCATGATTAGACGGCCTGAATTATTAATGTCCCAGACTAAACACAAGTCTGCGCAGCTGCCCTGTTTCGCCACACTTCAGAGTCCACCCTTCCCCTGTTGTTTATTCTGGTCCGAACTTAATTCCAGTATGCAATACCTTAATTACTTAGAGGTCATTCACTAATTGTGGAAGTCCCGTAGAAAAAAGGAAAAAAAAAAGAATCACCGACCACGAATGTGCACGCATCATACCATCAATCGCTACATCCCATTACCAATCGCAAAAACCCAGCACCGATTACAAAGTTGATCGGCGGCAGTGAAGCACCATCACCGATCGCGATAGTCCACCAACGATCCCGAAAGTCCGTCACCGATCGCAAAAAACCATCACCGATTACAGGGTTGATCACCGGCAGTGAAACATCATCACCGATAGCGAAACTCCACCAACGATCTCAGATACCCATCACCGCTTTCGAAAATGCATCAACGATGGAACACATTAACGCTTGTGAATATGCATGTAGCCGACGGTGATCACCGATCGTGAATATGCATCACCGATTGCTAAAGCGCATCCCTGGTTCGGTATTCGCATTAAATGCCTTTTTGGCGTTCCATATGACTGCAGCTTATGGGAGTCGTTGGTGTAAATTGGCATGCTAACAAAACCATGAGGGAAGCAAACGGCATTTTATCATCACTTCATGGATGCAACGTATAACGTGGGGTCATGTTGCGCCATACATGAATTATTCATAATGCCGTCACCAAGACCATGCAAAGACAACTAGACCGACGTCAATCGATGGTAGGGCCAGGCCACCTGCAGAGAACTTATCACGTAACACTCGAACTTAAAAATGTGTGGCTATCATAAGCGATCGAGGGCGCTGTTCTAAGCGTGCAAAGGGCGAGGTGTTTCACCAGGCTCGTACGTGTGCATGTTCATGTGACAAGTGAAATAATATGTACACTTGTACATGTACCTGTACCGGTTGTATGGTTGTATTAAGCAGGTGCCGCGCACACTCAAATGAAACTGTACTCGCCCAGGTAAGCTGCCGAATTTTAACGATTTTTTTTTAAATTTTTATATGTCCTGTAAACACTTCAATGATTTATCTAACGTAAATCAACATTAATGTTAGAGCTATTTCACTTGAGTATGATCAGATGTGGCATGTCATAGTAAATCACTGTCTTACAGTCAAAAACTCAATCAATGAGACAAGAAAAATTAGGCCAAGGCCATTACTGTGAGACAATTTCATACAGGAGAATCAGTACTCTACCACTTGTTTATTTGAGAGTGGACATGAGGTCCTACTCGGCCAAAGAAGTAAGAGTAAGACATATCTCATCAGGTGCAGTTCGCTTAGACCATGGGTAGGTTTTGTCCAGTGGCTTTCCTTCTAAAAAACCTCCTAACCTCCTTCATTTTCCTTCTAAAAATACCCTCTTAGTCGTGATGAACAGCCTCCCGTTTTTTCCTTCTTATTCCCCCCAACCGCGATGAGCTGTTTTGTATAAGCTTTAATCCGTATGAACGGGCTTGTTCAGGTTCTTCCTTACCTAACAACATCTTGTCCCATTTCTTGCTGTGATCGACAAAGTCTGAATGGTCTTGTCCATATTCAGTTGTCATGGTTGTCTTTCTTGTAATGGCATAAGTGAAATAAATCTCGAATCTTGAATCTTGGCGTACTACTATAGACGGTATAAATCATGAATCTCCTCCATTCTGTGCCAATAGCTTACAACGTTTGACATATACGAGATATGTCTTAGGCTGAGTAGGACCCTATGTCCTCTCTCAAATAAAAAGATTACTCCATTGGTGAAACAATTTCATACAGGTGTACCACTACCAGTAGTTTACGATTTGATGAAGATCTCTCTTAGTTGGACACCATCTTCATAGGAAAATTACATTGCCAACAGGCAGGACAGGTGCATGTGCGTGCAGTGTGCAATTTTCATGATTGTTCTATAGGCTAATATGTGTCGTGTGTGTGTTGATGCAGATATCTTTGAAATACAGTTGTGACAGTACAGCCGATGCTCATTACAAAAATTTGAAGTCTTAAATGGCGATGCATGAGGCAATTTGTAAAAAGTAACATTATTTGAGAAACAGTAACATTAAACTTTGTAAGCCTAGACTCTTCATCCTTTTCAGAGGGAATTCTTACCAGCTTTTCATACATCTAGTTTGTATTCAAAACAAAACCGAAATATTAGAATCTTGGAATTAAACGTTACCTCTTAATGCTCTTTCCTTTGTTCCTCAAGGTCTAATTAAATTAAAGTGGATTCAACACTAAACTCCTGTCCTTGTACCCATTGACTTCTTAACACTCTTCGCAACGTCTTTGGAGTCATGACCGAGCCTCGTGGTAAAGTGGGCGGTGCCCTGATCACCATCTGTCTGGTCTGGAACCTAGTCTCGGCCATCACCATCGTCTTCCTCAACAAGTGGATCTACACCCACTATGGCTTCCCTAACCTCAGTCTGACCTGCATCCACTTCATAACCACCTCTGTGGGGCTCTGGGTCTGCCGGAAGTGCAACGTCTTCCACCCCAAGAGCCTGCCCTTCCGCAGCATGCTGCCACTCAGCCTGACCTTCTGTGGCTTTGTGGTCTTCACCAATTTGTCGCTGCAGAGCAACACGGTGGGAACGTACCAGCTTGCCAAGTCCATGACCACGCCCTGCATCCTGGTCATCCAGACCGTCTTCTACAACAAGTCCTTCTCCACTAAGATCAAAATGACACTAGTAAGGCTGCAAACTCGGACCTCCAATCCAGTGCCAAAAAAAGTGTAGTGGCTACAGTCACGGAAGCCATAACGTAACATCCAAATTCAATAAGCATTACCAATCTATTCAAGGTTTTGGATTCCACGTGGCCTTGGGTTCAATTGTTGATGATCATGAACTTTATTTTCTTGGTTCTTTCTTTTCATTAATTTTCTACCAAATCCTATTTTTACTTTCCAAAATATTTTTTTATATTTTACGATTTTTCAAAAAGGGAAACAAAATCCGTGAATCATTTCTTACAGAATGGTCTGGTTCCTGTTCCCAGTAGTAGAGATTAGTGCAACAGAAGTATACAGCAACCAGTCTAAAGTGCCGTAACTATGTACAGCCGTGGTGTTTTAAATCAGGCGAATTCCACTATTAATTGTCTTTATGCATGTTGTCTCAAGATGCTAGGGCTGAATCAATTCAATTAATTCACTATTTGAATATTCGACCTTCGATTTGATCGACTATCAGAATATTCAGTTGTAGGGACCGGAAGATTGTTGAACAAACCATATACAAAATCAGTTGCAATAACACACACAGTTGTACATTATAATCACTATAATAGCTTCTCATGTCTTGGAGTATCTCCAGCCACAATTTAGCAAAAATTAGGAGACAAGCAATACTTCTTGCCCTGTTGAAAATTTCTCTTCTTTGAAACGTTTCAATGAATAATTTACTTTTTGAATCGTAAGATTTCTATCACTTTTCATTTGAATCTGCTTGAAACAAGCCTCCATAGTGCAACTGTTCCTATTTGAAACGAAAGTAAATTCCCCCTTCCTTTTCATGAAGTTTGCATTTGAATATTCAAATTTGTAAAATAATATTGAATATTCGATAAGCAATCAAATATGTGGATATTTGGCACAGCCCTGCAAGATAATATCGCCCCAAGGCTTTTACTGTCTTCCTTCTCAACAAAACATTTTCTCTGTATCCATTTTAGGCCAAAAATATTAGCTCTTCAGTGTTTAACCAGCCATGTTTGAGATCTCAGTCGAAACAGTTAATGGAATTTTCCCCCAGTTCTTTGATCAAGGGATCAAAACCACTTGAGTGATTCACACTTGGAGTATAAAGTGGACTTGCAGGTGTCTAATTCAAAAAACAAGATGTTCACCATTTTTAAGTTATTATCAACATTTTTTAGTAGTTTGAGTACAAACTCGTCGACTCCAAATGATGCAAAATTGTGGACAAAAAAAGTAATTGACATTATTTCAATTCTGATGGCATGTTTTGGCATTTTGAAAAATGAACTAAAATTGTTTTTTTCCCCTGTGACCCTAAATAAGTTAATCGTAGGGAAATGTGTAGAAGTAAAATAAACTCAGATGACTTCCTGCTTAAAAATCACTGCACATGGAATGGGAAAAGAGCAACTTAAACAGTTACCTCAATAAGCTCTTTTTTGTTTTTTTCTTTCCAGATTCCTATTACTTTGGGTGTTATTACCAACTCCTATTATGACGTCAAGTTTAATGTCTTAGGAACCATCTATGCAGTGGTGGGGGTTTTGGTAACTTCGCTTTACCAAGTGGTAAGTAGAAACGGCAAAATTCAAACAGCCTCAGTGAACAGAAAAACAGGTGTTCATACTTTAAGGGAAACAAAAAAGTTTTAAGAAAAATTGGACTGGTACAGTTGGCATATAGGAGTGTCATTTTCATTTGAAGATTCGTTTGGTCTTGACCTGGCGGAACACTTTGAATAACCCAAGATCATATGTTCACAACCACACATTGCACGTGCTCTGTCTGACTTTTCGACGACATCGCAGGTAAGCACAAGGTAAGTAATCAAGGCTCCTTTGATGGGAACTGCGCACCTGTGGTCACATTGCTACCAGCAAAATGAACACTCCCCACCAACATGCCTCTTTTCAACCGATGGGGGGGGATGCTTCGGCTAACGCTAACGGCGGAAGCAGTGCCTTGTGAAATCTGTGCCCGGAGCTTACAGCTGGAACTTTTGAAGTATTACAGTTCTAGTTTATTTCCACAGTGGGTTGGCGCAAAGCAGAGTGAGTTTCAAGTCAACTCTATGCAGCTCTTGTACTACCAGGCCCCGCTCTCCGCCTGCATCCTAGCACTCGTTGTTCCTTTCTTTGAGCCCGTCGTCGGTGAACACGGTGTGCTCAGCTCATGGGATGCCTATGCAGTCGTGAGTACCATTTATAAATTAGAGCGTGTGCAGTCATAACCCAAGACAGTGTTCAAAACATGGACACTGCTTGGGGCACATTTCTATTTCAGAGAGTTTGGGAAAGAAGCTAGAAGTGTTTCCCAAGTGAGCATTTTTAGCATTTCAGGGATTCTTTGGAAAATTCTACAACTGGAGACTACAGTGAAGACCTTGTTGACTGCCTAATTGCACTAAGCACTGCTTTTACCCTTGCGTTTTCTTTCCAATGTACATTTCATAACTAAACAAAGAAAACTTTCAACCCAGAGCAGGCATGTGTGTCCAGCCAGCCCTGTGTCAATATCTTAAAAGCACATTCCCGGTACCTTGCATAATCCTTTGTTGATCTTTTTTTTTTCAAGATGCATACAATCCTCCCTCCTCCATGCAAGAGATAAGTAAACACTTCAGCAGGAAAAAGGCTGTAGAAAAGGGATGGAGGGGTAGAGTCGAGGGTTTTTTGGTATGAATGGTTGCTTGGCAACCACAGAAGGATCTTGGGATTTCCTGTTCCATTCCTGTCAATGGTTTGTCCACAGTTCACTCACTCAGAATGCATGATAAATCAGATATTGAGCAGAAAGGGTTTAACTGATATTAACAGCGTTCTGCGATGACTTCCCAATATGTAGCAGTAGGCCTAAATGTTCTGTACTTGCTACGCAAGAGGTTTTGTGGACTTTTGCAGGACCACCCTGGTATTTTTCTTAAAAGGATCACGGGTGCAAGAATTCAGCATTTTAGCTAATTTCAGGTTTTTTTTATTAATTTTATTAGATGCTGACCCTGAATTTCAGCATTTTTGTACACCTGGTTTGTACAAAAGTTTCTGAATTTTTTACATTTCAGTTGTCAGCTAGCTACTTTCAGCTTTAGTTTTAAGTGGCCACTCACACCTCTGAAGGATACACTTTGAAGTCTTACAGTTATGTCCTCATGTACCTGTAACACGAAATCAAGCCAGCAATTTTTCCCTCAGTCAGCCAATTTCCTTTCCCGTTTGATTTCCTGTGTACATTGTTACAAAATGAAAAAAGATTCAGTTTTCCCCCTGTACTTCCCGTCCATAAAACAGTCAAACATTCAAGGGATATATTTGCACAAAATTCCACACCACACATGACCGAAGCAGTACATGGACTTTTATTTCTCATATTATATTTAAAAACTGTTTTGTGTAAAAGAAAAAAGAATGTCTTCACTTAGCCAATTTACTTATTTTATTTAGTTACATGTTGCGGAATGCGTGTGAGTGAATATAGATACTTGTCACTTGGGTAGTTCAATTAATTTACTCACACTTTCAGACGAGGTTGGATGGAAGGGTTGTTGATTAAAGTGTTGTTGTGTGCCCATGGTCTTGCATAAAATATATGCTTTTGTGTTATTTGAAGCTGAAAATGGCCAGGTCCAAAGATTATATAGCGCCGCAAGATGGGTAATTCGGCCATAAAGGTGTTATCACCGGTGGGCCCCATTCGAGTGTGAACGTTCATGTGTGTGCGTGCCTGTCGCGGTGCCTGCGCCTGTGCATTAACATGCACTGTGCAGTTGTAGTCCAACCAGAATGGTGCCCATGTGATAACAACGTTTTACGCGTATTCATGGTGAAGTTCCCCATCTTGCGCCGCTACGCCACTCTATACGATCTTTGGCCAGGACCTGGGCACTTAATGACCCTCCCACATACAGGGATATGTTAATTAAACCTAAATTCTTATACTTTCTGGTCAGTGTTTTGTTGGCAAGTTCACAACTTATCCTGATGAACAAACAAATAAATTAGATTTCAAATTTTCAGGTTTTCATTCTCTGTAAAAGCAATTCATGTGTCAATTTGAAGAAAATGCTACGTTTTGTTTTATTTTGCTTTTTGTTAATAGTTGTTTCTGGTTTGTTGTTTTGGTTTTAGTTTCACAGTTTTCTTTCAGAATTGGATGAAAAATGTCCTCTTCTGACTGTCACCTTTTCCTTCTCATTTTATTCTCAGTTTTTTGTGCTAGCCTCAGGTTGCACTGCCTTCTCAGTAAATCTGTCGATATACTGGATTATTGGCAACACATCACCGGTCACGTATCCTTATGCAAAGCAGACGAACTGTCAAAATTGCACAAGAATTCAAATGCATTGATGTGCCTTAAAATTTGTGTTCTCTTTTTATTTACGTGTGTTTGTATTATGGTCAAAATACTACTTGGACGATTTGCCTCTTTGTGGAGATTACTTAAATTTTGCTGCTTCAACTTTGATGGATACATTCCCACGGTGTCATTTCCCAGTTTATGGTTCTTGATTGATATCTGAAAACAATATTTCTGTTCTTTCTCAATACATTCACAAATGTTATATGTAAATTTTCATCAGATATGTGGGTTTATGTGTTTGCCATGGATTGTTTATAATTCCTGTATTGTCCCATTTGTTCACATCTCTACCAAAACCAAGAAGCATTTTGTACTTGTTTATCATAAAGTGTCTAGGAACTGTGTTTTTTCCATTTCCTCTTCTTTAACCCAATCACCATGCTCACAGCTATAACATGGTTGGCCATCTAAAATTCTGCCTGACGTTGCTTGGAGGCTTTCTGCTGTTTGGGGACTACCTACGCTTCAATCAACTGCTGGGCGTTTCCATGACGCTGAGCGGCCTTGTTGCCTACACCCACTTTAAGGTCAAGGAGCAGGAGGAGTTGGACAAGAAGCTCAAAACCTAGTGAGTAAGGTTCTTTTGGGGGGGGGGCTGGGGGTAGTTTTTGATGGTGAACTTTGACCATATCTTCGAAAGTGAGCCTGATGCTGAACAACTGACTTTTTGAGTTAATTTAACTGTATTAGTAGTAATGTCCTCCAACACTACAAACCTTGGCATTTGAACTGTCAAAGAACTAAATGGAACAGAATGCCAAGTTTGTTAAAACTTGTCACCATAAATCTGTTCGTTAAACCTAAACATGCCAAATTCCTACAAGATCCTGTGTGATTTACAGTCAGCCTGGAGAGTTAGGGCTACCTAGCATACTGTTAATTAGAAGTGCGGCTCATCAGGCTCACTTCAATAGAGGTGCTTACAGATTGGAATGATAATAATGCTGCTCTCTTGTCTCTGTACGTACTCTGTAGCACTGCACAGGTTGCACCTTTAAGTACAAAGGGTGGTCATTGGTATATGCGGTGTGTTTGTACATTTGGGGACTATTCCAACCCAAAATGGCCCGAAAATTTGGGGTCATGGTGGATAGACATTTCTATTGACCAAACCATCATGCATTGTGGCTTGTAAAACAGATAGATTTCCACATTAAGAATTACAAAAATACCTATCAATTACATCCATACAAAAAGAGGGCACTAGTTTCATTGCCCTGAATTTTGAAGATGCACTGTGCAACAGGAAAGATTGATAAATTCAGGCACTTCATAAATGCACCCATCTCGTCATTTATACCTTCCATCCAGCTGTCAAATTTAGCTGAATCGTTCAAGGATATCACATGCCGGACTTCCACAAGTTTGTGGGTAATCCATTCATGCTTTCATATTTCTAATGCCCCACCAGCATTTTTAACACCTTTGCCTGTTTTGGTTACGAACTGATGTCGCAAAATCTATTGAATCACTGATATAGCACGGCAGAAAAGATTGTTTGATGGCATTTTTTTTCCAGGTCTTAGGGTGTGCTTGGTGGTAATGCACTCCTACCGAAATGATCCCTGTGCTGAGAGCAAGGGAACACTCACATCACAGAACCTTTTTTCCGGGGGTTCATACATTCTGCCACACTATTTCACACTGTTGACTGCTGTCCCCTTTGGCACTCAGTCAGTGCTTTGCTCAAGATACACCATGGACCCCTGGGTGGACCAGAGCTGTAATTGCAAAATGTCTTACGACAACTTCTGTTATCTCTGGAGAGGTTTTGAAGATTTACTCTAACCACTGGACCGCAACACTCTTTTGATTATCTGTGGTTTTTTTGTTTTTTTGCTTTTGATTCCTGCTAGAGCGAAATTGTTTCTTGTAACATCGCTGTCAATATCGGTGATTCTTTGAGGTTTGTACTGGACATGTATAATGTCAAGCCATGTTCAAAATGGTGGCAGTTTTATTTATAAGGGTGAAGCACATTTCTACCTTGTGATGGAATGTTAATCCTGCTTGAAGTAAAGAAAGTTTATTTTTGTAGCTTGCCTTGTTAATATGGATATTAACATATAATTTGCATGTTGCTGTACATTATGCATGAATGAGAGGATTCTATCGTCCTCCAGAGCTGACAGAATGAGTGCTTGCTGTTGTTTTATTTTGTATGGTGTGGCGTATGGTTAATTTTCATCCCCCTGACAGCTGGAAGACCTCTGCACAGTCTTTGCATGGGCACTCTATGCTTGACCTAACAAGTAACGCTTAATAATGTTGTTGTCTGCACCAAGGATAGGTGTTGTACCCCCGCCCAGCTAACAGGAAAAATAATTTTCCATGTGGTGCTTGCAATGATTGAAATTGCTGACTGACAATCCCTGCTTGTGCAGTTCATGATATTGGCTGGTCTGTGACTCACTTGCAGCCTCGGATAGTTAGAGCCAACTTTGCAATCACTGCATTTACAACATGCTCTTGTGTAACTCAGTGACAGTGGAATTGTAATCGGGTGCAGTTCTAGAGAAAATGGACCTTGGTCATGCTTTTACTGACCTCATTATTGATTATAATTCTCAAACAAAAAGAACTTTTATAAGAACTGAAAATGGAATCACAGGTAATGGTTCTGTTTATCATTTCCACTGTCGTTTTTTTGGTTTTTTTCAAAAGCCTGTTTTTGTTTAAGAAGTACACTTCTATTGACATTGGTAACATTGTGACCCAATTTCTGCTTCTGCATGGAATTGCCCCTCAAGTCAATTACCAGTGAGGTCCTAGACTTGGCCTGTGACAGTACAGGTGTTTTTGTCAAGACTGAACATAAAACCAAGCAAAAGACCATCCTCAAGACTTGTCATAAGGCCAGTCACAGTCGACTCGCAGACAGGTTGAACAGTGATTAACCCTAACCTTCCCCA